CACAACCTCACTAACACCCCCTTCCCTCTCTCTGACCACAACCTGATTACCTTCTCTATCTCCTCATCCTCCAACGCCTACCCCTCCAAATGTCACACTTCTACCAGCCGTAACCTCCGCAACCTTAACCCTGCCTCCCTCCACTCCGCAGCTGATCAACTCCATGACCGCATCCTCCCCCTGTCCTGCCCCGACTTGGCTATGACCGCCTACAACAATGCGCTGTCAACAGCCCTTGACTCACTAGCGCCTTTAACCACACGCAACATCAGACCCCGACCGCTCCAGCCCTGGCAGACTGATCACACCAAAACCCTCAAACGACACAGTCGTGCCCTGGAGCGACTATGGCGCAAAACCAAATCCCAACAAGCCTTCACCCGCTACAAATCTGCCTTCCACACCTACACCTCCTCCCTCCATACTGCCAAACAAGCCTACTTCCTGACCCTCATCAAGGCCTCTCCTCCAATCCTCGCCGACTCTTCTCCACCTTCAACTCTCTACTCTCGCCACCCCCACCTCCACCAGCAGCACCTCACTCACTGCCCTTGAGATTGCCAATCACTTCAAAAACAAGATTGACACAATTCGCAAGGACATTGCCGCAACTCACACGCCTTCTCAACCCGTCCCCTCTCACACAGCTACCCCCTCATCCCCCCCCTCCCCCATAACCCACAGGGACTTCGTCGCTGCTCAAACTCCCTCCAACCCCCTTCCCCCTCACTCAGCTACCCCCTCTTCACCCCTCTCCCACGGCCCCACCCACTGCTCTGACCTCCTCTCCCACCCCACCCTACATTCCTCATACTGAAGCTCCCCCAACACTCCGCACCTTTGACCTTACTACCATCGAAGAAGTCTTCAAGATCCTCTCTGATGCCCGCCTCACCACCTGCCCCCTCGACCCTAACGACCCTATCCCCTCACAACTCCTACAACCTCCCTCCCCCCCCATCCTACGCTCCCTCACCCACATCTTCAATCTCTCTCTCTCCTCCGGCACTTTCCCTTCCCCTCTGAAACATGCACACATCACCTCCATACTTAAAAAGCCCTCTCTGGACCCCAATGACCCGAACAACCTCAGACCCATCTCCCTGCTCCCCATTTACATCTAAACTCCTCGAGCGCCTAGTCTACGCCCGCCTATGCTCTCACCTCAACGACAACAACCTCCTCGATCCCCTACAGTCCGGGCTTCCGTCCCCTACACTCCACCGAAAACTGCCTTACTCAAACTCTCCAACAACCTGCTAACCGCCAAAGCTAATGGCCACTATTCAGTGCTCCTACTCCTTGACCTCTCTGCGGCCTTTGACACAGTCGACCACCCCCTCCTCCTCCTCAAAAAACTACACTCCCTCGGCCTCAGAGAGTCTGCTCTCTCCTGGCTCTCATCCTACCTGTCACAACGCTCTTTCAGCATTACCTATAATGCCACCACCTCCCTCTCACTCCCCCTCTCTGTTGGGGTCCCACAAGGCTCTGTCCTCGGGCCCCTTCTCTTCTCCATCTACACCTCCTCCCTTGGCCAACTCATACACTCTCGCGGCTTCAACTACCACCTCTATGCCGACGACACACAAAATCTATCTCTCAACCCCCCCACCTCAACCCCTCGGTCTCCGCCCGAATCACACACCTGTTGAGCGACATATCAGACTGGATGTCGCTCCACTTCCTTAAACTGAACCTCTCCAAAACCGAGTTTCTTGTCTTCCCTCCAGCCCGGACACCGCCCCCCATTGACTTCTCCATCATGTCCAACAACGCTACCATCAAACCCGCCCCGCAGGCCAGAGTACTTGGTGTCATTTTGGACTCAAACCTATCCTTCCAGCCCCAAGTCCACTCTTTAACTAACTCGTGCAGACTCCACCTGCGCAACATCGCCAAAATCCGCACGTTCCTAACTCCAGAAACCACTAAACAGCTCATCCACTCGCTTATCATATCACGACTCGACTACTGCAACTCCCTCCTCACTGGCCTGCCTCGCCGCTGGCTATCCCCGCTTCAGTCCATCCTGAATACGGCTGCCAGACTCATTCACCTTTCCAACCGCTCCGTGTCCGCCACCCCCCTCTGCCAATCCCTCCACTGGCTTCCGATTGCGCAACGGATCAAATTCAAAATCCTAACACTGACGTACAAAGCTGTCCACCATACTGCCCCGAACTACATCACTGACCTAATATCCAAGTACCGCCCAGCACGCACACTCCGCTCCTCACAAGACCTCCTTCTCTCTAGTTCCCTGGTCTCCTCCTCCCATGCCCGCCTCCAGGACTTCTCCAGGGTGTCACCCATCCTCTGGAACTCCCTGCCCCAACCCATCAGATTATCACCTACTCTCCTCTCCTTTAGGCGCACCCTGAAAACCCATCTCTTCAGGGAAGCCTACCCCGCCCCCTGCTAACTTGCCGACCTCCTCCACTCTTCCTACCACTCCATCCCCCACAGCTATCTCCTCCTGTGCCACCATCCCCTCCCTCCTAGATTGTAAGCTCCAAAGAGCAGGGCCCTCGATCCCCTCATGTTTTGCATTGTATTGGTATTGTTCTGTCACATGTTCTGTTCCCCTCTGTAATGTACAGCGCTGAGCAAACTATTGGCGCTTTATAAATACTGTATAATAATAATAATTCTCCTGTTGTTAGCTTCAGACAGCTCTAGTCAGGTTGCAAATCTGTTTGCATATATATATATATATATATATAAATATTTTTTTATATTTTTCTACCTGTATTTATTTGTACATATGCCTTCCAAGTTTGTTCCCTTTTCCCTTCCATGTATTTAGTATGGGATGCCCTGGTTGCAATCGCAGTGTGTTTACCTGTACCGGATCGCATGGTACAAAAAGACCATACAATTCTGTTGCAGTGCAGCTCCAAAAAAGGTGCATGCACGTCTTTGGTGCGATTTGAGCCTATTCAAAATGAATGTGCTCAAAGACCACAGCACTGAATTACATGTGGATTGCACAAGACTGAGGTCCAGTTCCTGTGCGATTCAAATGCAGTTCATAGAGTGAACGGAGGCTTAGTCTAGAAAAAAAGGACACATTTCCAGCGATCTAACTAATATACATACAATTATCCATGTTCTTTCAAACAAGATAAATGAAACTGGACCCTCCGTGGCAAATGAAACAGAATGTCAGGGCTGGGGGGGGGGGGGGGGGGGGGTATGGGGCAAGGTAACCAACCTTATTTTTGGGTGGCAAACAGTTTGCTTACATAGCCATTTGTAAGGATGAACAAGACAGAACCAGCGCTCAAATCTGCATGCAAACCAAGGACATGTCAAAATGCCAACTGCAGAGGTGCTGCCCTTCTGAGATCAGGTAATCTGGCCACTAGTGGAAAAAAAACCAAACAAGGGCGCACTCCCGTCGTGCATTACCGTGGTAGTCCACGTGTTTATTAATAAAAAAGGATTATATACTCACAAACCAACGTGATAAAAAGCAGTAGGTGGTCCACAAAAACAGTTACAATATGGCTGTGTCTAGTGATGCGGGGAAGGGAGCTAGCACTAAAAGGAGACCACTGGTTTGTCATTGAACATCCACTTGAACTTTTTATGCAATGGACTGTACAAAATGAATGGTGCATCAGGTGCATACGGGGAAAACACAATTAGTACAAGATGGCGGTTAAAGCTTGTAGCCAAATGTTTTTCTAATTCATTCTGGACAGAGTATGGAAGGATTAAAATCCCTGTTGCCGTCAGTTTCCCAGGATATTCACCCTCTTTTTTGTCTGGCAACTATTGTTACAGAGAGAGAAAGTTATGGAAAACCCTAAATTTGTTTGTTGTCAAACCAGAACTGTCACCAGAAAAAGAGGCAAGGGTAAATCTTCCAATGTTTCAGTACATACACCGAACTCCTTATTTTGAGATTTTGGCTAGGTTCACACAGGCAGCAATTTATAATGCCCTCTGAAAAGTGATCCGCAGTGTGTCGATTTTCAATAGGCAGTAGAGCAGCAGCTTCTAGGCCTTTAAGAAGTGATCCTGCAACAAAGCATTGTGACCACAGCATGTGTACAACTCCTCTGGCTGCCTTGTTAGGCTATAAGTGGGCAGTCAGGGACCAGGGCAGTAAATGCAGCCAAACCGCCTGTTTTTACTACCTGTGAACAAGGCCTTCCTCTCACCTCCTTTTGCATCTTTGATACAGGAGGTGAAAGAGAATCTTTCCAGTGGGAAAAATAAACTGAAAGGGGTTTTAACCCTTCCTTACTCTAAAATTATATGTCTTGCAACAAACCCTTTTTTTTGGATAAAGCGGAACCAAACTCCCTATACTCCCTTAGGGCGAATTCTAACTGCTTGTTCTTTAATAACTGTATCGCTCCAGTCGCACTGTGTTACCGGCTTACTAGGGGGCAGTGTGGGGTGCGTGATTCAGCAAACCACACCATCCTTTTATTTATTTTTTGTTTTCTAACAGCTTTATTTGAAGTCTAGAAAGAGGACACGTCATTCACTGCAATGTTGGGTGGCGCGATGTGCTGTGTGACGCAGGTCGGTGCAATGTCTGCATTTTATCGCAGTAAGCCGCAGTGCAGCACTATGCTGAGTTGCAGTGTGAATGGGACCCATAGGAAATTGTTTCCTGTGTGTCCCTGCAGAGACAGACATTTTACCATGCCATAAAACGTCTGTCACCACATATAGTGTGAACTGGCCCTAACCCTCCAGCGAATCTGAAAAATCTGTAATTGAAAAATGACAGCATCATGGTGCATATTACTAAAGGATAGTCACTGATAGTAAATTATACTGTTTGTGTGTGTGTGTACCCAGGGAGTTTTGTGTTGCCTTCCAAAATTGCTGGAGTATGTCAGAAGTTGAACATGGCAGTCGTATGTCTTTTTCATCCTAGTATACCAAGGATGTTACAGGAGCCCTGTGTATAACTACTGTTTCTGAAATATACAAGCTAAAATACAAACAATGCATTACATATTAGTGGTACTCACTGCACTCTGCTCAGTGTTGGGTGGTGTGCAGCCTCTTCAACAATCCTGAAAGCTGCCTGGTCATGTATCCCATTGTATGCCAGATTCAACTCCTCAAGGTTTTGATTTCTTCCCAAATGATCTGCCAACATCTCGGCCCCCTTGTCTCCAAGATCCGTGTGAAGGAGTGATAAGTGCTTCAATGAACTGTTAGAAGCAAGACCCTCCATAATAAATCCTACTCCTTCTGGTGTCAGAGGGTTATTACATAATCTAGGTGGAAAAAGGACACCATAAGATGAATCCTCCAACATGATGACGAAGACAGATGTGCGGTGTGTAAAGAATACAAGTAACAAATATCTGACTGAAATAAAAGAAACATTTCCACCTTACACAGTATGTTATAGAAGTAGTTTCCTTTCCATAAGGAAAAAGTCTGACAATATTTCATGGCAGTAACTTATATACCTCCTCTAAACTAAAAGGGGAAATGATGGCAAACCCCTCTCATACAATTCATTATGGGTCTCCGAAATTAAGAGGTGGCAAAATTCTGTGGGCAGTCAATTCTTTCTCTCAGCAAGACATAGATGCGTCATAGTTTTGATGCCAACAATTATGCTGTAGAATGGACTGTTGGTAATATTAGCTGATCTGTCAGGAATTTGTTAATTGGTCATATTTAGACATTTCAAGTGCTTTCCAATTTAACAATATCCTGCCTTTGTAACCACCTTTAAGGTCATTAAAAGTCCAAACTCCAGGTTGGGTAGACATCTATCCCTCACTAACGCACCACCAAACATTACTTTTTTTAAAGTTTTTGGTTTATATAATTTTAGAACTCTCTTCATGATTTTGGGGTGTGGGAGGGGGCATCATTGTCTTCTACCTGCAAAAACAGTGAGAGGTCCTCAATGGGAGCGAGAGCAGCACAAGAGGTAATGTGGATGCTGTTGCCTGCATTAATCTCCTGTGTACCCAGGATGAATTGCTAATGCCCAGATACCTAGTGTTCAAGGCAAGGTTCACAAAATTGCAACCTGCATTCTGCGTGTTGGCAGCCCTTTCATTTCCATGGCCTGCCTAACGCACAGAAGTGCAGGTAAAGAAGTCCCGGACCCTTTTTAAATCACGTCGTACCAAGCCACATGATGCTGCGGCACCACGTGGTTTGGTGCACATGAAAACATGAGGCAGGTGCCAATGTGTGGGGTGCCATTGATTCTTAACTGCACTCCCATGCATCGGTTATGGTGCAGTGCATTTCTCTGTGGGTCATGAATGTGTGCTACTTTGTGCGGGTGTCCCACCCTAACAAATGTGATCATAGCTAAAGAGGAATGGTGGCTGGGACCAGAGTGCAGAACTGCAGCATTGAAAGAGTGAGTACTGCTTTAGGGCTTTACTTTTTTAATGAGGTGAAGATATATTATATATATATACACACACACACAGTTGTGTTCAAAATAATAGCAGTGTGTTGAAAAAAGTGAATAAAGCTCAAAATCCTTCTAATAGCTTTTATTTCCATACACACAAATGCATTTGGGAACACTACACATTCTATTCCAAATCAAAACATGAAGAAAAATATATCAAATTTGTGTTGTTCCTCTAAAAAAATTGAAGAAAAGTGATTAGACTGTTCAAAAAAACAGCAGTGTTTGTATTCTTCTTTACAAACTCAAACATTCACTATATAAACTGAAAAATGTTTGAAGATTTTGCTTTCCTTTGAATCACTTAATGAATATTTAGTTGTATAAAGCACTGTTTCTGAGAACTGCTGTACATCTGTGTTGCATGGAGTCAACCAACTTCTGGCACTTGTGAACAGGTATTCCAGCCCAGGATGATTGGACTACATTCCACAGTTCTTCTCTATTTCTTGGTTTTGCCTCAGAAACTGCATTTTGATGTCACCCCACAAGTTTTCTATTGGATTAAGATCAGGGGATTAGGCTGGCCACTCCATAACGTCAATCTTGTTGGTCTGGAAGCAAGATGTTGCACATTTACTGGTGTGTTTGGGGTCGTTGTCTTGTTGGAACACCCATTTCAAGGGCATTTCCTCTTCAGCATAAGGCAGCATGACCTCTTCAAGTATTCTGATGTATTCAAACTGATCCATGATCCCTGGTATGTGATAAATAGGCCCAACACCGTAGTGTGTGAGAAACATCCCCATATCATGATGCTTGCGCAACCATGCTTCACTGTCTTCACAGTGTACTGTGGCTTGAATTCAGTGTTTGGGGGTCGTCTGACAAACTGTCTCCGGCCACTAGACCCAAAAAAGAACAATCTTACTTTCATCAGTCCACAAAATGTTGCGCCATTTCTCTTTAGGCCAGTTAATGTGCTCTTTGGCAAATTGTAACCTCTTCAGCACATGTCTTTTTTTTCAACAGTGGGACTTTGCGGGGCTTCTTGCAGATAGCTTGGCTTCACATAGGCGTCTTCTAATTGTAACAGTACTCACAGGTAACTTTAGACCTTCTTTGATCTTCCTGCAGCTGATTGTTGGCTGAGTCCTTGCCATTTTGGCTATTCTTCTATCCATTCGAATGGTAGTTTTTCGCTTTCTTTCCACGTCTTTCAGGTTTTGGTTGCCATTTTAAAGTATTTGCGATCATTTTAGCTGAGCAGCCTATCATTTTTCTGCACTTCATTATATGTTTTCCCCTCTCCAATCAACTTTTTAATCAAGGTACGCTGTTCTTCGGAACAATGTCTGGAACAAACCCATTTTCCTCAGAATTTCGGAGAGAAATGCACTGTACCCCAGCATGTACAACATTTGCTGCCTTCCTTCCTAAATAAGGGCAATAATTGCCACCTGTTTTTTCAAAAGAATGAATGACCTCACTAATAGAATTCCACACTGCTATTATTTTGAACATGCCCTTTTCAATTAGTGATTCAATTACACAGAATCAGCAGCATGCATGTCATGACTGTTGGGTCTGCTGGATTTCTATTACTCTACTACACCTGCTAGTAAATTTATTTGCCATGTAGAAATATCATTTCTACCAAAAAACAGTGATTGATCAGGTTAGTGATGTCTGACTGCTATTATTTTGAACACAACTGTATGTTAGGTTTTGAAAGAGTTATGACTGAAGTTTGAAGTTTTTCTTCCCTTTTTTTCTCTCAGTAGCTTGTTCTCTCTTTAGTTTCCCCAGAACATCACTGCAAGTGACACCCAAAGACATGGTCCTTACTAAAAGATCATGTATACATAGCCTACAACAAAAGTGTTCTTTGAAATGTCTGACTGCTATTATTTTGAACACAACTGTGTGTGTGTGTGTATATATATATATATATATATATATATTTTTTTTTTTTTTTTTAATCAGAAATCAATTCAAAACACGTAACCGTGTAAAAAATAAAAAAAATTTTTCTTCACAGCTCATCTCTGCAACCTTGCCCACCCACTGGTTTGTGTGGCGTCGGCGCCATATGTTTCTATGACGCTGGCGACTTGCCTCCGCCTTGTCCTTCCCGGCGCCGACATCATGGGTGTCCATGATGATGGCGACCGGTGCAGGAATGTCTTTGAGTGCATGCGTGAGTATTAAACTCTCATGGTGCACGCAGGTTACATGCGTCGCTATGAAACTGTCGGCCGCTGCACTAATTATTATTATTATTATTATTACTACGAGTTTATATAGCGCCAAAGGGTTTGCTCAGCGCTGTACAATAGGGGGGGACAATACATGGCACAGTACAACAACAACAAACAACGTACGAGGGGTAAGAGGGCCCTACTCTTACGAGCTTACAATCTAGGAGGGAGGGGATAAAGGTACAGTAGGAAGTGGCCGAGGGGGATGAAGTGGTGGGAGGAATGAGGGAGGATGGCCGTTAGGTGAGGGTGGGGTAGGCTTCCTGAAGAGATGGGTTTTGAGGGGAGCGCTGGAATGTGAATAGGGAAGGCGACAGTCTGATGGATTGGGGCAGTGAGTTCCAGAGGATGGGGGAGGACCTGGAGAAGTCCTGCAGTCGTGCATGGGAGGAGGAGACCAGGGAGCAGGATAGAAGGAGGTCCTGTGAGGAGCGAAGGGTACGGGTAGGGTGGTACTTGGTGATCAGGTTGGTGAGGTAGTCAGGGGCAGTGTGTTGTGAACGGCTTTGTAGGTGAGGGTTAGGAGTTTAAATTTGATGCGTTGGGCAATCGGGAGCCAGTGGAGGGAGTGGCAGAGGGGGGTGGCAGAGGTGGAGCGGGTGGTGAGGTGGATGAGTCTGGCAGCTGAGTTCAGGATGGTCTGGAGCGGGGAGAGCCTGCACTTGGGTAGGCCAGTGTGAGGAGGGAGTTGCAGTAGTCAAGGCGTGAGATGATGAGGGAGTGTACTAGAAGTTTGGTGGTGTCTGGGGTGAGGAAGGAGCGTATCTTGGCAATGTTGCGAAGATGGAGCCTGCATGTGTTTTGTGAGTGATTTGACATGCGGTTGGAGGGAGAGGTTCGCGTCAAGAATGACGCCAAGGACTTTGGCTTGCGGGGCGGGAGTGATAGTGGAGTTGTTGGTGATGATGGATAGGATGGGGGGGCGGGTGTTGGCAGGGGGAAAGATGAGGAGCTCGGTTTTGGAGAGGTTGAGCTTGAGGAAATGTAGCGACATCCAGTCTGAGATGTCATTTAGGAGGTGAGTGATGCGGGCGGAGATAGTGGGGGTGAGGTGAGGGGTGGAGAGGTAGATTTGGGTGTCGTCAGCATAGAGGTGATAGTTGAAGCCGTGAGATTGTATGAGTTTTGCCCCAGGGAGGAGGTGTAGATGGAGAAGAGAAGGGGTCCAAGGACAGAGCCTTGGGGGAACCCCAACAGAGAGGGGGAGGGAGGGGGAGGTGGCACCATTGTAGGTGACACTGAAGGAGCGTCGGGATAGGTAGGATGAGAACCAAGAGAGAGCAGTATCTCCGATGCCAAGGGAGAGTAGTTTATTAAGGAGGAGGGGTGGTCAACTGTGTCGAAGGCCGCAGAGAGGTCCAGGAGGAGGACAGAGTAGTCGCCCTTGGCTTTGGCATTGAGTAGGTCGTTAGTGATTTTGAGGAGGGCAGTTTCAGTGGAGTGTAGGGGACGGAAGCCGGACTGTAGAGGGTCAAGGAGGGTTATTGTCTGTAAGGTGGGCGCTTAGGCGATCGTAGACTATGCGTTCAAGGAGCTTGGAGGTGAGTGGCAGCAGAGAGATGGGTCTGAGGTTGTTGGGGTCCGCGGGATCCAGGGAGGGCTTTTTGAGGATGGGGTGATATGCGCG